GTTATCATTTCCCGAATTATATTCTAAAAATGCCTCCAGCGAAGTCTCATCCATCATCATGACACAATCACGCGATCCACTCTTCAGAGATCCTATTGAGTGGGAGAATGCTTGGAAAACGAATGGATGCACGCCAGGTTCTAAGGGAATCTTGCGTATCACTTGGCGTAGAATTTCCACACTTGGAAGGCAGAACACATTTTGCAGAAATTCGTAGGTTTTCGGGCTTCTTTTCCATATGGATAATGCAAAAATTTTATCGGCTCTACTATAATTTCTCGCATACTTATTCCGAGAGACATTCCTCAAATTACTGAGGATAAAATTTCGAGCAACGTCTGATAATTCTCCAATTTTTCCTTCCAACTCTACATCTAGAGACGACTTGAATTTCGAGAGTTGGCTTATCAAAGATGCATTCAGTTTCTTTTGATAAGCCAACGCTCTCTTCAGTGAGGTAACTTGGGCAAAGACCGATCGTTCAGACTCCGTCAAATCCTTCATTCTAGTGCGACCGAGAACACGAAGTGGTTCTGAAAATTATCAAGAAGTAATTTCAAGTATGGTACGAAAATCGACAGGAAAGTACTAATTCAGAGCTGCGCACGAGAGCGAGACGAGGCCGCTGGAAAAAAAGAGACCTGCGAAAATTAATACAAACCCGAAAAAAAACGAGGCGAAACTGGACTTTTTCGTTTTCTCCCGAGACCGAGACGAGACTTCGCGAACTGTTATATGATTATATATCACTGAAAAGAATTATTATTTTTAAAATAATTCTTGCACTGAATATTTTGACTCATTATTGGTATTCTCATTATTATCGACATTTTCATTATTATTGCATTTATATTTATAATAAATGTATATCGCCACCGTCCTTCTTACGGCAAACAATTTAAAAAACTATTATATGATTATATATCACTGAAAAGAATTATTATTAAATCTCGTCTCGCCTTGTCTTGTGCGCAGTTCTATACAAATTGTATAGATTGGCTAAATCATTGAACCATTCCCAAGCCAATAATAAGAATGAAATTATTCGAGTTCAAATGACAAAAAAGGATTTGATGATGAAAAAAGTGAGAATCCCATGAGAAATGAATAGCAATTGCACGGAAAGACACCCAGTTTGATTGCAGCAAGAAAAAATTCAGGAATTTCACATGTTTTTAAAGAGAAAAATGAGAATTTTCCAAATTATTCTGAATTTTAATTTAGCTATGATTGTTGAGTTGCGACACTCTAAGAAGTCCGATCTTAAAATCAGACCGAAATGTCCGAATTCGTAAGATCGGTCTCTATTTTAAGATCGAAATGTCCTAATTTTTACAACCGCAGTCTGAATTTAAGATCGGCCTTTTTAGAGTGAAATCCATTTCAATTGATTGAAAATTAATGAAGTGGAATTTCAATTCCAATCAATTGAAAATGTAAGAAAATATATACCATGAGTTACTCATATGTTAATTTCTGATATCCGATGATTTTTTTACTGAATAATTAAACCGAAACTGAGAGTTTTCATTCATTTATCCCTCAAATTGTGAAAGTTCAATGATAAAATTCACCGAATTTTCGAAGAGAATGTCACTTGATAATAATTTTTATTGAACAAATTGGCCGAGACTTTTACGATACATTAAAAAAACTGGAATTCCCTCAATTTTTCGAACAAATCTATCAATATTAATTGCATTCAATCCAGGTTTTTGCCTTTCTTACGTTGTAATGACGTCACTAATATACCTACTATTTATTGATAAGCACCAATAAACTGGGACATGAAAGCATACAAGTCCCACAAGTCCCATAGCATTCAATACATACAGTGTTATTGTTTCTCATGCTTATTAGATTACTTCAACCGTTACGTAAATTTGAAATATCCTTACCATTACTTCGTCAATTACAAGAACTAAGATAACGCATAATTACCGTAACTGCACAGGCAGTTTTGTCAAATTAGTATTTGCAATTGCCTCACCAGTCTATTAATTTTTGGACTCAATTATATCTGCTTTTTAATGTTTTAAGTACCTCTATTCCCTATACTAAAATGTAAAGAATTGAGTAAACATTTGCTTTTTCTTAATTAAAAAATTCTTCAACCTAGAAAATAACTTACCGAAACTCTCATACTATATTTGCAAAAAGCAAAATATCCTTCATCACCTAAAATTTTGATAAAGAATCGGAAGGAAGGGGAATGAGAATGGGAATATTACCTCCAGGAAAAAAAATCACTTTTATCATTTAAACTAAGAGTACATCTCAGGATTTTTATTTAATTTTATCTATTAATTATAGAATGGAAGAATTCCGCCTGAAGTAGACCCAGTCAATATTCATGTCATAAACAAAATTCAATGTGATATACGCAGGTACACCAAATTCACGCGAAAAAATTTTGTTTCCTGTGCTCGATATGGTCAATCGCACAGGGCCTCTTCCATTTCTCATAAAATAGTGTAAAGCAGACCGAATTTTTATCGTCGGCTCCTCCATAATACATTTGTTTTTCTCTGCAGAAGCTTTCATATGAAGCATCTGAGAATTTATGATTTTTTCAATATAGAGGCCATGAGCATTGATTTTACCTCTTCCCTTGCGTAATATGCCACGTTTTCTAATTTTTCGGTTTTTTTTATCACGTCTACCCCTGCTTGGTCCAGAGAGTCCTTGCTCTTCTATGGATTTCCTCTTGACAGCAGCTATAAAGTAAAAGTATAACCATACAACAAATCATTTCTTGAGATGAAGAAACATGAATAAAAAATACCTGATGGATGTGCATTTCCTTCATTATGTTGAGGCTTTCCGAAATCATCCCCACACAATTTTTGCTTCCATTGGTTGGGGATTCATTCGGAATTTGCAGCTTCTTTGAAAACACATCTGCATCAAGTGCTTCCTGGGATTTTATGTCTTTTTCGGAAGCTAAAGAAATTAACAGTTGTTGATAAGGGGAGATCGCGATAACTGGCACACCAAGTTTTTCATAATTGTACTGATGATAATGTATCCCAATCTTTTGCGATCATGGTAGCTAACACATACCTTCCGCAGATGTGGGCCAGTCTTTCGGATCAAAGTTGATAATTTGTTCAGTGGGGGGAGATTTTTCTTCAAAAAAGAGACTAGATACATCGATACTTTCTGCGAATGAAATTATAACAGTCATGATATATTATTCACAAAAAAAATACTTCAACATTTTCGACAAAATCGACGGCGCATACCTGGCAAATACCTTGTTGGAATAGCACTAGTACTCAATTTCTTGGGGAGGAAATATTTGTCTTCGAAATGAACTTGACAAATTGTTCTTCTTCCTATCTCATCAATTCCAAGTTTTAATAAATCCTCGTTCCCTGCCAAAGACAACCAAATGCGCAAACGTTTGTCATCCTTATTTGGAAATCGAAAAAAACGTATTGCATTTGCTGTGCATCCAGGTATGACACACACGCGCATGATTGTCCTACACTAAAAAGACAAAAAATTATAACATTGAAGTCTAATTGAAACGAAAAATTTATATGTTGAATTATCAAGAAAGCTAATCTGCTAAATTCTGAATGAGCTCGTCTAATTAACTAGTTTATGACAAGCAGTGCAGACTTATTATTATTGCTTCTTCTGAAGTAAATTCATTGCCTTGTCTGACTATTTTTTAATTATGCAGCTCACATACCGTGTTTCAGTGGTTCAGCAAATATTAATAATGCTCTTTCGACTTGCATCATCCAATTTACAACACACAATTGATTAATTAATTGTAATTCTTTGCGGAATATATATACGGGCTGTTTGGTTAGATTTCAAATTTGAATATCTTCATAACAAACATGGAGGGCCTCTGCTAATCCCCACCATTCATCTACAGCGCTCCAAGTGGTCGATTCTGGCGAAATCGTATCCACGAGAATAACACGAGAGCTTGACCCCCCTGTGCGATACTGATTGGAGAATAATATTTCTNCTGCTACTGCCGAGTTACCCGCACCGGCAGTTCGCTCAGCCGTCATATTCGACCGTGGCGGCATCCCTCCGTTGGGGTCGAACTACTTTTGGCTTGGGGTCAGTCAAACCCCGAGATCTGAGTCTCTACTTTAAGTCAATCCTCTTTGGTAGACTCCGTGTCTCTAGATGAGCGCTTCAGTCGGCCAGTCGAGGCATGAGTACTTGTTTCCTCCGTTGGCGCTTGTGCACTTCAGTCGTGGCAGGCGTCGGCATTACCGACTGTGAAGCCGCCACAAGGGTTTAAAAATGCCTTAAATAAAAAAATATAAAAAAATTGATTTCTATTGAACTTTCTACTAGTTTTTGGCCGATTCTATTAAAATGTTGAGTAGAAAATATTCTATAGAAGAAGTCACAAGAATTCGATTTTTCTATACAACTTACCCTTTCGAGATTTTCAATAGAATTTGCTCGGCTCAAATTTTCTAGGTTTTTTTTGTTTGATTTTCTTGATGAAAATAAAAGAAAAATAGAATGAAAAAAAATAATAAAACTTGAGGCAAAGAAGTTCTATAGAAAAGTCGAATTCTATACTTTTTCTATTGAATATTTTCTATTGAACATGTCAATACAATCGGTCAAAAACTAATAGAGAATTCAATAGAAATCCAATAAAATTTTCTAACGAATCTGCCAAATTTTTTATTCAAATTTTTTGTGCGTGTAGTTGAATCCAGAAAATTCCATTGTAGATATTTTCCATAATGTTTATTTTCGTCAATCGTAAGTGAAGAAAATGAACTTGAAACATCCACATTCTTGTTAGAAATTTAAAATAATGTAAACTTAATTCACATTTTGGAGATTAAAATTTGAATTTAATTTTAATCTCTGGTTTGTGCTCCATCGGCAGTCTAGTATCATTGAAGAAAATGAACGTTTCACAATTCGGGAGAAGATTAAATTCTAAAAAAAAACCCGAAAAAAATCAACATTCAAATTAGTAATTTTTTTTTTTTACTAAGTGCGAAATGACCATTACAATCCGAAATGGTTTGTTATGGAAAGGGAAATAATTTCGAATGTACAGAATTGCCACTGACCCAAACAACCTAATCAAACAAGAGACTGTTGTCTCTTGATCATGATTGATTCGTTGGTTGGTGATTAACTTCTTACATTCACCTAAATTAGAATTCATTTTTAAAAAATTAAAATTTTTTTTTTTCATTACACTCAACGACTCAACTGGAATCCATTCAAACTATTCTATTCATACATTGAAACATGAAATATTGATCATAATACAAAGCACAAATTTTTACACAATTTATTTTACAAATATTAAGGAAATCAATGGATTTACTGCTTTACTTAATTTTAGAATTTCGTTATTGTTTTGTCTATTCACTTTGTGGATAGACAAAACTTTCTTTATGATTGGAAAAACGCAATATAATTTCGGACGGCCACAAGAAAAGAGCCCACACTGTCGCATATAATTCCCAAGATATTCCCATTTGTGGACGTCCACATGAAAAGGGACCACTTTGTCGATTCTAGTTTCCGAGATATTCACGTTTTTGTCTCAGCAACTCCCATTTACACTCATGTTAAAGTGTTTTTTTCATCTGCTCCGGCGACGGCATTTTTCACCCTATGAGGATAATTTTGGGCTTAAAATGTGCGGAATGTTATAAATATTATCAGAGTATACATAACTCCATATCGACAAAGTGGTCCCTTTTCATGCGGACGTCCACATTTTTCGATTTAGAAAACCCAATCGAAATCAAATAAATGTTAAATTATTATGCTGATCTTTCCAAACGACGACCTTTTTGCAACTATAATATGGTCATTTTGAGCTTATAATATCTTGGACTGCATCTGAAAAAATTATCGGAGTACACATAACTACACAAGATGATATACTTCAATTATCTCCGAGTGGAAATATCTTATGCTAAAATATCGTGCAATCTTTTTTGTGCATGAAGTGAATTTCCCACAACGATAGCTTATCGTTTGATCATTAAATTTGTGAGAAACTGACTGAATGAGATTATTCAATACTAGCGAACTGGATTCATTTATGCTATTGTATTTTATTTTATTTTCCTTCCATTTCCGTCTTCACAATTAGATTAATTTAATTTTATCCATTCGTATATATATGCACAGCGTACATATGCGCCTCCATATACACTACATGTGGCTATCCTACTCGCCTTTTCTCTGAGAGGCTACTGCGTCAAATCGGAGGCGACTAGGTACCTCTGGGTTTAACCCAACTTTTTGAAATGGGCGATTCCACAATTCTGGAGTTCAGGACGCCACGCACACCACACACATTTCGCGATGTTAAAACCCAGAGGGATTTAACCCGGAAGGAGTGTGTTTTTCGAGCGGGGGACCGAAAAATTTTCAAAAATCGGAGGCGACTACGTCTGTTTGATGTAGCGGAGGCCAGTTGTAATTGCTCCTTAATTCACAAGTTACAACACCAAATGAAGAGGAATTATGTTAAAGATTGATAAAAACTGTTTTTTTTGTCATCAAAACAAACACAAAAAAAAAGTCATTCAAATTCTCATTCGAGTAATAGAAAAATCTCTCCATCCCAAGTAGCAAACTTTGCGAAAGATATCTGAAAGTATACCAAAAAGGCAGACTAATGTCCGTCCAAAAGGTATCTTACAGTCATACGATAACTTTTAGTTAACTTCTAGGTAGCTTCTAGACACAAGTTACCTTTTTGGACAGACATTAGACAGCCTTTTTGGTATACTTGCAAATACCCTCCAGAACTGTGCTGCTTGGGATGTATTCCTGAAAAGTAAATGAGAAAAGAATCAGAAAGGGATAACCGGCTAGAAATAGTATATTTCATTACGAGTACGGTAAAGAGTTTTTTGGCTCGTGAGAGGTTTATAGCACGAGCCGAAGGCGAGTGATATAATCCCACGAGCCAAAAAACACTTTTCCCACGAGTATCAAACGATATTTTTCATCACAATGTGTGGAAAAGGGACGTCTTAGGCACTCGAAGCGTGCCTAAAAAATTACTTTTTCGCACAGCGTGATGAAAATGGATTTTTTTCTTCTTTAAAAGAAAGTGGGTGGGAAGAACCAAAAAATAATAATTTCAATGTCTCCGGAAAGTGTTAAAATCGATATATTTTTTCGAATAATGGAAGAATACCCATCACTTCAATTTTTATTCTTGTCTTTTGATAGAATGAGTAGAATAAATGGCAGAAATTGAGAATTGGAGACTAAAAGTTTTATCTGATTATTATTATGTAATAATAATTCTCTCACAATTCTCCAAATAACCTTGAAATGATTATCTATCAATTAATCAGTTTGCGTAGCAGGAAGACAGAGTCGTCAGTTGGGTGATGAGACCCGTTCCTTGGGTAGTATGGGTTACTTGGAGCGTGGAGGACTTCCTCATGGTATGCAAATGGATGACTTGGCCTGCGGAGGAGGCTACCCCCTGTGGAAGCCACCAGGAAACTATTTCCCTCGTGGAGAGGCCCCACCACCCTACGAGGAGGCAGTAGCCGCAGCGAGAGCCGAGCAGGCTCTCTTATCAATGACTCCACATGCACTATCACCTCTAAATCTTCCCAACACGTACCTGACGACGCACAATAATCACTCCAGTGTCACATTATTAGCTGGAAATCCCAATTTATCAGCAAATTCACCGACTCCATCCAACCATGGGGCGAGTCCATCATCATCAGTGTCAGGGAGTCGTCCTCTGAGTGCAGTGAACCCTCATTGTCATCAGCAGGGCCAAAGCGAGGCTATGTCTCCAGGGTTTTACAATAATTCGTCGACTACTAGTTTCAGCATGGGCAATAGTACCTATGAAAATTTACCGACACCTATAACGTTGACTAATATGAGCAATATGACAGAAATTGGTTCACAACACTCGACCAACAGTGTAAGTCTTATCTGGATTTTAGCAACTGAAATTTATAAATAACGGTAATGTGGAACCGCAGAGGGAGGATAAATTTGAAATTCAGTGAAAGATGGATAATTTGACTAGGAATCTTGTTATTGACTGGTAAAAAAAAGTCTTGATAATTCCTTCTAATTCCTCCTAGCTTCCATCAGTCTCAAGAAGGGATGCAAAATGACCATTTCTGGCTTGACGCACACCTCGTGATGCCAACTGACCGATCAACTTACCCATTGTCAGTCATTTTTTCTCATTGTCATTTATGCGGAAAAGTGATCTATCTAGATGTAATCCGACTGTAATTGTTATGCTCGGTCTTTTTTTTTTTCATTTTTTTCATGAATTTTTTTAGAGATTGGAATAAAATTATGAATAACGCCGAAACGGAAATCGAAAATTTTGTGAATATTATCTTAGTATGGAATTGCAAAAAATCAGAAAAGTTTCGTAACACTTTTCTTATTTATTTTTATCTAGAATCTATAAAGCTCAATCATAGAAAAACGATCGTATAAAATTTTTCATTGGATCAATGAGGTCGTAAATCTTTTCATTTGAGAACTAATTAAAGAACTCTCTCAAACATATACACGGAGAGAAATGTTCAGTACAAATTATGGGACTCTCAATTCATTCACCGATTACGGAATCGACTCAGAAAATTTAAGTGACGGTATCGTAATTTTCTTTAGTAATTTTTGTGACGCGAAATTCCGTCACTTTTTTTCTGACCGAAAATGGTCAGTAATTAGCCTTCTGTCAGTGCCGTGTAATTTTCGTGTAAAATGATGGTAAATTGACCGGTCAGCTCTGTCCGTTACATCCCTAGTCTCAAGATAACTAACGAACTACTATTTTCAGCTTATTCACGTTGCACTATTTATATATCATGAATTCCATTGAAATGAATTATTTCTTCAGGTACAGACACAATCTTCATCAATGAATCACCAGAACTTCTCAAAAACTTATCACACGACTTTCCCACGTCAGGGCTCAGCATTCACAATCTCGGCCACCTTACCAAGTGCCAGTGTCTCGACACATCGCACAATCCCAAGAACTCTCGCCACGAGCAGCAACTTAAGGCTAAGACGTGATTTTTTGGCGAATAAACCAGTCGCCCCACTATTCGGAGAACTCCCAATGGATTTTCCCTCGGAAAGACAGCCAAGATCGGCCCCTCCCACAATACCTAGCACAGACAGTGCAACGCAGGCAGATTTCTATACAGATTCTTTCAGAGAGAGTACTACAACTCATTCAAATGAATCTCAAACAGATGGATCTCCTTTCGAGGGCATCACGGCCGTCGGTAATTGTGATAAAAAGCCACCGCCTTTACTGGCATCTAACGAAGCTAACCAGGATGGTAGCTTCGAGTCTTTCACGTGCAACTGTAGTATGCAGGCATTGCCAACACTGCATGATGACACTGATGATTACAGAAGTGAGTGTGAAAATTGTAAAAGTGCCACAGGGTCTAGGTACTATTTGGATAATGAGGATGAACTTGTTACTTCACCTCATGAAACTATGACACTACACAGGAGACCTGAAGATACTGCCGCTAGTGTTACTCCACAATATTACAGGACTTCATTGACACTGCCAACTAATACACGTCAGCGTACAAGGTAAATTAAACAACAATTCCGAATAGTCAGGTTGGATTTATCGATTCTTTTACAGATAAATCTATATGAGGTATTCCATGCCCAATGAATCAACGGCTGACGCTCACCCTTTCCGAAAGTGATCTCGATTTTTTCTGCGATTGGAGGGCTATAAAAACTATCGCTCAATTGTTTTCAGATTTTTTCAACAGCCCATTTCGGAGATATGATTTTTTCTTTCTTTTTCGTTTTTTTTTTCAATAACTCCGGTTTTATTTCGCCGATTTTAATTTATGACGGCTCAAAATTTTCCCCTTGCTACTATTTATAAGAAAGTGCTCATAATACCGAATTTTCGGAAAAAAAGTTGAAAAACTTGAATTTCCAATATTATCTCACGTTTTATTTTTCGCATCTTTTTTCAGTAACTGTTATAATCAAAATGAGTATTTTAAGCTATCATACAAGTTGGATTTTGTTCTGAACTTATTTTATTTTTAATTTTTTCTTCTCGAAATTACGCGAATTTGGTCAAAACACCCCAAAACAACTTCGATTATGTATGAAGAAAATATGTAACATATAAGTATATATTTAAATGCACTTCATACTGTTTATAATCAAAGTTAATCAACCCCATTTTGGGGTATTTTGACCAAATTCGTGGAATTTCGAGAAGAAAAAATTGGAAATCAAATAGACCTAGGACGAAACCCAACCTACATGACGGCTCAAAATACTTGTTTTAATTACAAAAGTTACTGAAAAAAAGACGAGAAAAATAAAACGTGAGATAATATTGAAAATTCAAGTTTTTCAACTTTTTTTTTTCAATCGGTATTATGAGCACCTGGAGGTTGAAAAAAAAATTACTCGAAATATTCTTATAGATGGTCGAAAATAAAAAATGTTGACGTGTCATAAATCAAAATCGGATGAATCGAACTGAAGTTATTAAACAAAACGAAAAAACTAAGAAAAAATCATATCTCCGAAATGGGCTGTTGAAAAAATCTGAAAAAAATTGAAAGATAGTTTTTCTAATCCCCCCATCGTAAAAAAATCGAGATCAGTTTCCAAGAGGGTGAGTCATGAGGGTCAGCTGTTGACTCATTTGACATATAATATGTCATATAAAGAAACATCGAAAGAGATTTGCTGAATGATTCCATTGACTACAAAGAAAAATTAATGCATAATTGCTCTTCTTTCTTCCAGGACCAGTGGGGGTCGAGGCAACTGGATCATGCCAGAAAGTTCAACGGAATCGTCCGACGACGATTGAACCCTTAAACAATCTTCCCCTCCTTCCACAAACTTTATTAAACTTCCAAAACTAAATAATAATAACAATAATAATAATAATAATAATAATAATAATAATAATAATGATAATAATAATAATAATAACATTCTATAGATATTCAATGGGAAGAATTCTAATCATCGGTGAATTTTCGTGACATCAGTTGCTTCATACGTGATAAATCATCATGAATTAGACTACGATAATATCATAAGGAGTGCCAACATTAAATGACTTGAGATGAAGAGCACAGTTATAATTGAAACGAATGTTGATAGTTGTTGATCTTCAAGTTTTCTCGATCATTATTTAATGATAATGATAATTAAATTCTGAGTGAAATGAAAGGAGGCGAGAACTCAAGGATGACGTATATGTTATTTTGTGAATATCTTGGGAGATAGCGATTCGTACTATTGAATTTTCCATAAAATTTTCCTAAACTCGCTCATTATCTACAAGATGCAATTATCAGTCAGAATCTACACAATGAAGGGCATTTTTTCATCAATTAGACGATTGTCTGGGAAGAGGAAAATTTTAAAAAGAAATATCGAGACCTTTCTCTGAACCCCGTCACTCTGGAGATATTCACAAAAAATGGACCAAAAATGTTCAAATTCATCACCTTTCATCACTTCACTTCTCAATTATTAGGACACTTTTCGGAGTGTAGATGGATTTAGTCGAGTAAATAATAATTTCAATCTCACGTCAAGTATGGGAGTTTATATAAAACCTGTGGTACCTGATTCGATCCTACTCATCTTTTCCGGTGGAATTGTTGATAGTGTTCTCTTTATCATCACATATATAATTGCTTAAATATGTGAGCGGAAAATACCCATCAGTCTGCTAAAAATGCCAATATCCATGAGAAGTTTCTCAGAATGTTCATTATCACTTAATTAGAGGGATACATTTAATCAAAGAAGAAGACAAACCAAAGAAAAATTCCAAGATTCCAAGGTTTTTAAACTTTTCGTTATATCTTTATTATTGAAGATAATTAGTTTTATTGAAGATGAAAATACTAGTTTTTACGCATTGACTTCTGAGAATAGGACGTTTAATCACTGGTGATATTCAATCAACTGAATTGTGCAAAAATCTGAGACACTAACGATCAAATATTGTCTCAGTACGAAATAACCGCGCACAATGAACAGTCAAAATCGATATCAGGAAGCCGGATGCGCATCATTACAATTCACTGGCTACTTTCTCCAGAATAAACATTTCTATTGATTTTAACATGAAACAATTGTTTCCTTAAGGATACAATGAATAATGAGTGTTCAGAGGCCAGTAATCAATTGGCATAATTACAAACATTTTATGACGGGGTGAAAAGCGGGAGAACAACATAAAAGGGAACGAGATTACTAAATTTTCAACCAATTTTTCCTATTTTTCATTCAACGAAATCACTTTCATTTTTATTGATAACAGAATGTTTTCTAGTTTAGTCATTTAGGTTTTCCCATGAACGATTCAGGTCTAGTACTGGAAATCTCAGTTAGAGTACCGACCGGTTAAAAAAAGTGACAGTAGATAGGCAATTCTACAAGAGTAAGAGGAAATATAACCCACGGTTACTTTAAATGAGACTCCTAATACTGGGCCTCAGTATGGAGGTGGCAAAATGGTTTAAATCAGACGTGACAATATCGTTAATTATTATGGCGAGTTAATGATCATGATGATGAATGAATAAGAATGCTTAACAGATCCGAAAATTTCTTTAATTAGGCGGTTAGAAAAAAATTTCCAGACCTTTTTTCTTGCAATATTTAATAAACTATAAGAAGCTCTGTAAGCACTTACTCTTCACAGAAATCACCCCACAGATCATGAAAATCGGGAAGAAATTTCTTGTACTAGAAATTTCCCGTGGTATTTTTTTCCAAAATCAATAATGACCAAAATAATTTCTCAATTATACAGATATTAAAACCATTTCACGACTTCTAAGCTCTGTCAATAGCAACAAATTAATCCGTATCCAATAGTTAAATGACCGTAAAACTATCAACACTCCTTGAATACATCTCCCCCCCCCCCTCCCACCAATGAATAAATTATTGTTGTAGCAATTCAGTCTAACAAGATCGTGATTATGAATTAATTAGCTAACCATCGTCACCAACGAAGTAAATAATCTCTCAAAATCAAGATGAATAATTAATTCTTAAGATGTCCTTTCCAACTATTACCAATTAACAGATGCACAATGCACATGTTCATTCAGCCAAGTAATTTATGCAGTATTACTAATTTATACAGGAAAACAATCATAGGAAATAGTTTTTTTGTGGTCTCAGTAATGAACAAACCGATTAATTTAAAAAATAGAATTTATCGCTCAAAGACAAGAAGTTATCTTCACTGTTAATTGTCGCACATTTTTCAATATTTTTTTAATTTTAACCAAAATGAAGAAAACAATTGAATGATTTCGTTTGCTCGTTTTACACATTGAAAGAAAATAAATGAAAAAATGACCACCGATAGTATAAACAACTAATGGGTATACATCATATAAAAATGCACGTTATTACAATCGAAGGTTCAAATAAAAGTTGTTAGTGATGATTTGCTAATTATTTCTTACAAATTATCTGACATGACATAAACAAAAATAAAAACAAATACCGTAATTATGTGTTCGGTGGAACTACACTCTGATATCTCAGAATTAGTTTCTACTAATCATTTTATAATTATTATAATTAAATATCTTAAAACGAGCGACAGATGATGAAAAATATGGTAACCATAGGCGTTAGGTAGACGATAAATATAAATTTTTTATATTCTATTTGTTTTTGAGTTGAACATATTTTTCATATTTTTTACTTGAATTCATTTGCTCACTTACTCTGAGCATCAGAGTAGAGCCATGCTAACGCTTATCCAGTTTTCTATTATGTGGTGAAGTGGTAACTAAATAAAAGCCAGGAATTCAATAGAGATTATCTCGCAAATATTTTGGAAACTCATAATTCAAGGAAGAATTCTTAGGAAATCACTCCTTCAGATGAAAACGCTCTCTCAGTCAAACAGATCCGCCAAAATAGTTTATGAGGAACAATTTACCATAACATTTTACGTTAATGGGGCTGATAATTATTTGATTTACATTCATCTAGCTAACAAATAACTTTGGCAAAAATGCCTCTTCGTTTCAAAGATATTCAGGAAATAATCCGCATAAAATTTTTAGCTTTATCTTCTACTATCACTTCACTGCTGTATTGATGTAAATCATGTTTAATAGAGTATAAATGGAATTTATTTGAATTTCCATTATATAGGAATCAAGTTATATTATTGTACTGCATTCTTTGATGGAAATGTGGAGATTGTTCCAATGCACTGTGCAATATAATGTCTACGAAATGGAATATGTGAAAATGTATGATTGAATGTCGAAAACTTGAACAAGATTATTGTTAAGAAAGGAGGGTATGATGCTGTTCAAAAGATTTTTTAATCGATTTAATTTCAGTGGTTGAGGACTAGGATCATTCGAGGCCAATAGTAATAAACCGTTCGTCTCTGGAACGAGTAGGCCAGAACAGACGGAAGCCGAATTTCTCATAAAAGTGATATTCCGCTACTTTCTTGAAAAAAAAATCACTAATGAGATAATTTCATGATCATGCAGATGAGATTTCAAGCTTTAAACGGCTTGATCTTTTTTCTACTGAAGCAATGTTTAACATTCGACTCTATTCCAGAATCGAAGAATGATTAAGTATGAATGTTTTTGAGTTTCCTTTCGAAATGAAAAAATTCGTTGATATTTTTAAAGGCGCATGCCAAATGTAAGTCTCTTGACAATTGAATTTAATTCACGGCATTGAGATTATTTTATGTCATTTTAATTCAATGATTTACCATTTAACTAATGAAATCAGAAGCTACCAAAGATTGAAGCGTGAGATTGAGATGTTGTTGAGATGGACGATCTCAGAATTCACACGAAAAAAATTAACAAAATTAACTATTGTGAGATGTGTGAAAAATGTGAGTGGGCAAATTTTTATTTCTTAAATTTAATAATTGTATGATAATATAATTGTCGTTAACGTACAAAGTAAAAGATATTAAAAACAATAAACGCTGTTTCAATATTCATTTATATGCAGAAAAATAAATTCCATCGGATCCCATTGTGTGACGAACTTGATGGTAGCATCCCAGGTGCCAATCCCGGGAGTCCCCAAATTCACACACATTTTTAATCACAATCATTCGGCCCGGTGGCTTGGCGTAGTGGGTAAGTTTCGTTGCCTCACATGCGAAAGTTTTCCGAGTTCAAATCCCGGCCGGGTAGAATGGTACGATCTAACCATTTAAAGTCGTGATCGTAATTGCAGTAAGGCGAATGTCCCGGTAGCTAACTCTTTAAGGAAGAGTCGATGAAAGAACGTGCATAAAAATAAATTCGGTTATATTGGTCATAGAGGAATTATTCTAGAGGATTATCCAACTTTATTTGACCGAAAACAATTATTTTTAGCTATAAGAATATTAAACAAACATCAAACTAAACGAATTTATTATGTAAGAGCTATGTCCTAGTAGTTGAATCCAAAAAACGTCCATGTCCCAATAGAGTAGAACCCCGCTGTTTGCATATTTTTCACCTCGCTATTCGCATATTTGGACACGCCCTCCTCCCTTTCTCTAGTCCATAACCCCCTATGGGAAAGTACGCATAACCGACTGCGCATGTCATTTGATTCAAATTTTATGTCTGATCAACGCAATGGATAATACTAAATTTTTCGAATAATCCAAAATATTCTTAAATTCCTGAACTCAACATTTGTCGCAAATTTTGTTCTTCTAAAATTAATTTTTGTGAGAAGGCCCGGTAAACCGCGATTCTAACCTCGCTTCGCTCGGAGGAATTCCGGCCGTAAGGCAGCGTTTCACGGACGCTCCGCGTCCGTAAATCTCAGCCTACGGCCGTCATGACAAAAAATATTCTCCATCATACGGCCAAAAATAGTATATTTCGTCACTAGGCCGAAAAAAACTTTTCTGGCGAATATGAGTTTGCAGCCCGAGCCGCAGGCGAGGGCTGCAATCATATGAGCTAGAAAAGTTTTTTTTGGCCGTATGACGAACAGTATTTTTTGTCATGACGAGAGATTCACGGACGCGGAGCGGAGCGGAGCGTCCGTGAAGCGCTGCCTCACGGCCGGAATGACAAAAAAACTATTTCTGACGAATATGAGGTTTGCAGCACGCGCCGAAGGCGAGTGATATAATCCCACGAGTCTAAAATAGTATATTATATCATCAGGCGATAAAAGTATTATCTGGCGAATGTGGCTTTATAATCCGAGCCGAAGATGAGGATTATAATCACATTCGCCAGATAATGCTTTTATCGCCGTGTGACATACGATCTAACCGAGCGAAGCGAGGTTAGAATCGCGGTTTATCGGGCCTAATGACATAAACACTTTTCCCGCGAGTATCGAACCCTATTTTTCATCACAATGTCTGGGAATTGGGGTTTGTCACTTTACACATAGAGTGGTGAAAAAATATTTTTATGTGAAAAAGGGACGTTTTAGGCACGGGAAGCGTGCCTAAAAAGTTACTTTGTCGCACAGCGTGATGAAAAATATCGTTCGATACTCATAGGAAAAGTGTTTTTTGACTCGCGGGAGATTTATAGCACGAGCCGAAGGCGAGTCAAAAAACACTTTTCCGCACTCGTATCGAAATAGACTATTTTGACAGTGATGTTACGTTCAACGAGTGGTCGAACTGTGCCTTTTTCGTTTACACAAGTAAACGAAAAGGCCCTTTTCGGCACGCGCTGAACCTAGCAGGAGTGTCAAAAATACTATTTTCCAACCTTGTCACGGAAATAGCGATTCACGAGTTTGAATACAATCATTAAATACGTCATTTACATAGTTGTTGCGTTGAATACTAATTTTGTCTTCGAGTCAACTGTTCTGAATTGTATTAGTGTTTTTATTAAAATTTCGCCATTTTTGTCATAGTTCCGTAAAAATTGGGTTTCGACATTTTTAATAAACGTCCAGTGTCAAGAAATTCATATACAGCAAAAAATACCGGAGAAATAATTGTGCTAGCAAACTTTGCTAGAAAAATTTGAATATCCTTAAAACAAAGAAAAGCTCATCGAACTAAACCAAGTAACCCCCAAAATCCCGCGTTTCCATTCCTAAATGCATTGCAACCGATCAAATTAAATCAAAATTTAGCGCGTGCAATCGGCCATTTTGAAAAGCCGAGACATCCATGAAGTTTACTCCGGGTCAGTTGTATTAGTGCATCGTTTGGCTCACAGTCACCAATTACAGCCAGAGCCGACGGTATAACGCAAAACATGGCTGAAGCCGTTGTGGACGGGACTCCAATGTCCCGTTTTTTTTGTCACAAGTGTAGTGTTGAAATCCAGCGTTTATTACCTGTGAGTACCTCATCACTGCTACGGATATCGTCGAAATATTCTGTTGTCAACAAACTCAAAAACATCGTCGCTACTCCTAAACGAATAAGCTGTCACAAACCATGTGTGATTCAACCTTCCATCTTTCACATCCTTCCCTCACACCGCCGTCCCTTGTTTCCTTCCTCATCATGAGTCTTTTAAGGCAATTGGCAGAAAAACCCACTGGATCTACTCTTATAATTTATCTAAGCTATTCAGTTTTTCCGATACTATTCTGACATGTCAATTTTTCCAATGCTGACATATAGAGTAAATTGATCGATGCTACGCAAATACGAAAATCGTCATATAATGGTTGCTTCAGCCTCAATTTTGTCCTCTCCAAGGGACCGGGATGATTGTTATCAACGATGTTGATTACCTTCAGTCATTAAAGCTCCACTCCATTCGGAATTTCATCTTACGAGTCAAGTAATTTGGTCGTTAATGTTTGTAATAGATTTTATAACATTTCGGATTTCGTGACCAGGTCTTCACCATTGCAATATTGTCATCATTGTTAATCTTGGGAGTGAAAAAGTTTTTACATGAAGGAGTCCAATAAGGGAAAGGATATTCAACTCTAGTTCAGCTTTTGAAAAGTAGAGGAATCATCTGAGTGACATTTTTGTTTATAGCTATCTCCGAAATGAGTCATTGTTGGAGAAATTGTCATGATACCTTCTTTATGGGAGAGTTTGGCCTCTTTGAGTGAGGTCTTTAAGTTTACATTTTATTCTGGAATCGTGCATTAGCATGGTAATTCCGTAGTTAGCCATAAAAAGTGATTTGTCAAATAAAACTACAGTCAATTTGATAAGATGCCGTATCGCGTTTTTCGACTCTGTCTATTGTTCACCTTGGAGCGAGCATTTTTTAGAATGATGAAGATCAATAATATAAGCAGTGATGAGCCGTTCGCGCCAAGAGTAAAATCTCTAATCGGTATTGATGCGTTCATGACGAGAAATTGCAAATAAATATGTCAAGACACTGATTCTGGTAGCTGAGGGCATTTCTTTCGAGAAATTAATAATTTTTTAGAATATCTTCCATTGATGTGCAGCTAATATCTGAGTACTTGGCCCCATCCCAGTGGTCGGAATTTTTCCATCATTAATGAATTTCTTTAATCCAATGAATCTCTTTTCACTGCCACCTTTTATAGCCTAATAAATAAATCACAGAGGGAATTTTTCCTGAGCCCATCGATTATTAAACTACAAATATGCACTTTAACACATCAACCTGGAACATTTTATCATATTTCAATCCATTGTGAACTCATGTTTGATGATTTTACAATTTATTGTATTTTTCTTTTTCATCGTTTTCAGGATTACACATGTCCACATTGTGCCAGTGGATTCATAGAAAAGCTAGAAAACGAGGAAGATGACCATGATATGAGTATGGAAATTAGTGCTGAGGATTTCAATGATATTGATCTCGATGTAAGTAGTTATACTGTTAATTTATTATTACAACAAACGTTCACTATACTGTAAAGTGTTCCAGGGTTAAAATTTGTCATACTTTAACATAGACAAAGTATTTTTTTGACGAAATGACCTGTTGTACACTATAGAGTGCCTTCATTTTTCGGTACACGTAATGTTTAGCATTAATATCATGTCAAATGAGTCAACGGCTGACCCTTACCTTCTTGGAAATTGATCTTGATTTTTTCTACAATTGGGGGACTACAAAAACTATCTCTCAATTTTTTTTCAGATTTCTTTCAACAGCCCATTTCAGAGATTTGTTTTTTCGTTTTTTTTTCAATAATTCCAGTTCTATTCATCCAATTTTGATTTATGACCCGTCAAAATTTTCGATTTTCTACCATATATATAAGAATTCTTTGAGTAATATTTTTGTTCAATCCCTAGGTGCTCATAATACCGAACTTTAAAAATTATGTCACATTTTATTTTTGCCGTCTTTTTTACAGTAACCCTTGTAATCAAAACAAGCATTTTGAGCCGTCATACAAGTTGGGTTTTGTTCTGGATCTAGTTTATTTCCAATTTTTTCCTCTCGAAATTCCACAAAGTTAATCAAAATACCCCAAAATGGCGTTTATTGGCTTTGATTATAAACAGTATGAAGTGAATTTAAATATATGCTTATATGTTACATTTTTCTTTCATACACAATCGAAGTCATTTTGAGGTGTTTTGACCAAATTCGTGGAATTCCGAGAAGAAAAAATTAAAAATAAAATAGATTCAGGACGAAACTCAACTTCTATGACAGCTTAAAGTACTTTTTTTAATTATAAGAGTTACTGAAAAACCGATGAGAAAAGTAAAAGGTGATATAACTTTAAAAATTCAAGTTTTTCAATTTTTAAAAATATTTGGTATTATGAGCACCTAGGGATTGAAAAAAAAATTATCCAAAATTGTCTTCTAGATGGTAGAAAATGGAAATTTTTGAGCCATCGTAAATTAAAATCGGTTAAATAGGGGCTTAATTTTTCTTGAATTCCACAATTTGAAATTCAGATTGCGATACTTTTCAATTTAGTGGAATTCTATTTTTATAATGAGAATGTATTGATTTCAGTCTCTATAGACAAGGTCTTATTATCAACCATCACATATGAAAAATTGAATAGAAAATCTAGCGAATTCGCTAAAAAATCTATTGTAATTCTATGGGATTTCTATATGATTTCTATTGAGACAATAGAAATTCTGTTTGAATTTTACTCTTGAGGTTTTTTCTATAAGAATGCTTGGGGATCAATTTGTTAAGTTTTTTCCACTCGGATTCTGTAATGCAAAATAAAACAAAATCTGGCGGAAAATTTGTCCCCAATAATTCTAATAAAAAAAATCTGAAGAGAAAAATTCGAACAGAAATTCAAAATATATTAACTTTTTCTTATCAAATATGCAATAAAATCAACGCAAAAAAAAAACAAGTAGAATTTTTCAATAGAATTCCAATAGAAGTTGGATAGAAACCCCATAGAATTCCTATAGAATTCTAATAGAATTTTCTAGCGAATTCGCTAGATTGTCTATTGGTTTTTTTCATGTGGGATCCAATATGTCAAAACAAGCAGGGGTCCGAGCCTATCCGATAGAAGACATGTGACCGTTATGTTTTTTTCTATCAATTCCATTGGTAGTAAGTTTCCGAATGGATTCGTAGCAATTCCCGGTCCTTATGACAGGCATACAACCGTAACCACATACCACAAGGTGCCTACAGGAAGATATTCAATTTTTTAATGAAATAGGTTTATAGCCCATCCAGAATACCAACCTTCAATATTGTAAGAGCTTTAATGATACCAAATTTCAACTTGCTATTTTCATTTTTTATCAAAATATCGTGCGTACAAGAATGGAAAAATTTCAAAAATAAAAAAAACGTGAATATCTTGGAAGCTTTGTATGAACGGACATATACATATTTTTTTGATTGATCTAGATAGAAGTCGTGGAGACGCGTATTTTGAAAAAAAAATTGAAATCGGTGCGGTAGTGTTTGAGATATCTAGGAAAAACGAAATTTAAATAAGTTGTTATATCTCAGGAACTACTGGGCTGATCGGGCTGAAACAGCGCTCCAAAGTTGAGCTCAATAATAGCTACAATGAGCCAAAATTTCAAATTTTATTCACAAATTTCACCATATTTATGTGGAATTTTCGAAAAATTAATCACCAAAAACCCAAGCTATCGAATACATACAGACATGACCCTAAAACCATTGTTTCTTCAAGTTCTTCACATTCTAAACCATTTGCAATCAAAATTAGAAAATGGAAAAATCGGTCAAAAACAAGGCTTTCATTCGGAGGCAAAAAGAAGAGTCTCCATTGTGTGTAACAGATTATTTTGCCGAGAAATTTTGCTATGTCGGCAAGTATGCTCCAAATTCACACTTATCATTAATACTCCATTCATATCGAAAAAAAAACTAATAATTCAACCACAATGCCAAGAGACATTCTCTGTAGCTAAATAAATTTCTAACGAGAAATGGCTTTTTAATCGGGCTGAAAGCAATTACGCAGTCTCAAAATGAATGCATAACCAATGGAGATTTCACCTTTGGGCTGAATCGTCTATCAGAGTCAATAGGAATTTCGTAAATATTACGTGACGATAAAATGTTTAATTTTCTCAGCAACAAATGTACATGGAGCTCAGTGACATTCCCGAGCTCACTGTATCTGGCTCAGATGGCGGTACAGGATTACCACGGGATAGGAGGCGAAGTGATGTACAAAATAGGTCAGAATTATTTTCACCGCCTCTTTATAACATTAATTGAATTTCAAACAATGTTATTCATGAATGTTACTCAAAAAAGGCTACTCAGTAGCAACAATTTACGAGTGGTGAAACGAAACAAGTAAGACCTTTCATAGGACCTTTTTTGTAGTTGCCAAATTTTTCTTCAAAAAAGTATTTTAAAGATTCTCCCTAACATGGTACTTATCAAGATGATCCAATCATTACCAATTGAAATGAGGTGTATTATCTCAATACTGTTTCACCACTCAATCTAACTTTGATGATCATCCATCAAAGTATTCATCATCGAGAAAATATTTGAATAGTCCTGATTTTTTAAGAAGAATCGAAGCTTTGAAATCATCGAGCTAATCCCGAACGAGTGAAAAATTTGAAAGCTAGGCTTGATATTTCGCAGATTGTCAAATGCACGACAGAGACGACGAATGTTGTCTTCCGAAAATCTTTTCCATGAGTTCTTCATTAATCTCACCGGACTAAGACGTCCCGTCGCTACGGGTCAGCCACCTGTGTAAGTAAATATTTTTTTCAACCTTCAAAAAAATTGAAGCATAATTACAATTATCTAATGATTCAAGTGCATATTCTCGTATGTCAAGTGAAGCACTATCTGTAAAAATCTAAGGACTAGGTTGAGTTAAAAAAACATGTTGAGAAACGTTTTTCGAGAGATTTTCATCAACTACAAAGAACGTTTTTTAAGATTGTCTTAAAACGGACACGACTTTTTTTCGTATTCATAACTGAGAAACAGATTTATCAATTGAGCTCGGTCTGGCCTCATTACAAAGGGATTCAACTGTACTTCCCACTGAAAAAGAAATATTCCTAACAATAACTATACTCATTTATGAAAAATCTAATTATTCACTTGTTTTCACTTAGCCATAATCTAGAGAATGCGTAGCTTTGAGCAAAATATCAGAAGACTATCTTGGAGTCGTTTAAATTTCTCTTAAGGGAGATCTTTTGACGATTTTTCTTGAATGTTTCCAACGTATCTGAAAGATTTAAAAAATAATATTCTCTGCATTGTTGACATATCACGTATTTAAAAGGAAAAGTATACGCTAAAAATGAGCTTTTCTGGCAAAAGGCCGTACCTGCCAGCATATACGATCTTTTGCTTTTAGGAAATCCATCAACGTGAACCCAAAAAATGTAAAATATTTCGAGATTAGTTATCAACGAAGAAACGGCCTTTTGCTTTTTATAGTTGGAAAAATATATCACCCAAAGTGGAAAAGTTGTATATTCAGCTATAATACCCCAAGACCTTCAAAATTATCGGATATTTCCCGAATGTTTTGTTGCATAGCAACGAGAGGGATCAGTTTTGCAGATTAAAATCCCGAGCGCGTAGCGCGAGGGATTTTACTGCTAAGCTGATCCCGATCGTTGATATGCAGGAAAACTTGAGGGAAATATCCGATGAATTTTGAAGGTCGAGCGGTATTCAGAGGACAATTTCTTCAATTCTGATTTTGGCAGATCAGGGTGCAGTGTTCGGGGTTACGGGACACACCTCACCAAAATGTGAGGAATATCTGTCAAATTCGTAGAAAACAATTGAGAGGCTACAGGGAAATTATCAGTCTGATAATTTCCCTGCAGTCGGGAAAATTATCAGTGTGAAACGCGTCACGTGACTTCGAATACTGCACTCTGATTGGTCAAAATCAGAATTGAGGAAATTGTCAATTTTTGATTTTGCTTGCACCTTGATATGTATATCTTTTTCAAAAAGTTTCCTTCAACTTCACTCATTTTTCATCACAGAAATTAGAATATATTTCTATTCAGTGAGAGAATGATGAACACAATTCTTTTCGTCATTCCGGCCGTAAACAAACGCTATGCGTTCGTAAATTGTTGCCTACGCCCGTTATGACAAAATAGTATATTTCGAACAATATTTTTCATCACAATGTGGCGGAAATTGGACTTTTAGGCACGCGGAGCGTGCCGAAAAGTTCACTTTTCGTCACAGCGTGATGAAAAATACAATTCGACATACGGCCTAAAAAAACTTTTCTAGCTCATATGATTGCAACCCTCGCCTTCGGCTCGGGCTGCAAACTCATTCGCCAGAAAAGTTTTTTTCAGCCGAATAACGAAACATACTATTTTGGCACTGCTGCTACGTTCACCTTGTGCCGAAAAGTGCCTTTTCCGTACTGACCTTCACTTTTCCTCGTCCGGGGATTGGTATTGGCCCTTCCCCAAACTCGTAAAAGTGAAAATCACTGTGGAAAAATAACGTTGGAAAAACCTCATGGCACTCATCCTGAAATATACTATTTCGTTTACGAATATACAAGAATGCACTTTTCGGCCACTCGCTGTACGTAACATAACTGTCAAAATAGTATATTTCAATGCGAGTGAGACGGAATTTTCACGAGTGTGAAGTTGACGGCCCGAGGCGACACCAACGGCTGCCAATGACACAAGCTGAAAGTTCCCGTCTCACATGTGACGAAAAGTGAACTTTTCGGCACGCTCCGCGTGCCTAAAAGTCCAATTTCCGCCACATTGTGATGAAAAATATTGTTCGTAACTCGTGAAAAAATGTTTTTTAGCTCATGGGATTATATCACTCGCCTTCGGCTCGTGATATAAACCTCCCACTCGCCAAAAAACACTTTTTTGCACTCGTTACGAAATATACTATTTTGACAGTGATGTTACGTTCAGCGAGTGGCCGAACTGTGCCTTTTTCGCTTACAAGTAAACGAATAGCTTCGTTACAAGGCCGGAACTAACTTTTCTGACAAATTATGTTACTAAGCTGGCGATATAATTATTTGATCTTAATCAAAGACACGGAAAGCTTCTAGTAACATCAACTGGAATATTGACGGTATAACCTGTCCAGGGAAAAGGAAATCGAACAATGCAAAATTTTGTCTTTACGACCTTTTCATTTTAGGTCATTTTCAATTCCTGAGGACAGAAATTAAAGGCAAAAGTCGTCGTGTATGAACAAAAAAATCGTCATTACAACCTGTTATTTTTAGGTAATTTTTCATTTCTGGGGAATGGGGATATAAGTGAGAAGCAAAATTCGTATATGGGGTATTCCATGTGAACTCACCCAGGTCAAAACCCTCACCACCGCCAATCATATTGCCGATTTTTCCTGTGCTTGTATATGGAAAAATATGACTTCTCAAATTTTTTCAGATTTTTCGAGGCATCCTGTGGACAGCCATGTTTTTTGCAAGTTTTATCTTCAAATGCCTGTAACTTCCGTAAAAATCAACCGATTTGAGTTTTTTTTTTTTCACAAAATGTGCGTCTTCGAACACACTTTCCATATAAAAATATGCCAATTTTTTTCAATTCGTTCTTCCATCGATTTCCTCAGAAAAACCTCAAAAAACTTCAAAAAACGAGTCGTTTTCAAAGTTGAACCCTTTTTATATTTTTCAAAAAATTTCAGTGGATATATTGGACCAAAACAAAATTTTTCACTAAAGGCCAAAGTGGGCTTCCTATTTCGTGGCCGTCATTTCCAATTTGAATATATGAATCCGGGATGAAAAATTTCAAAAATTTCAAAATTCTTTTCGCATTTGAACGCAGAAGCATTATTTGAATTTACCGCCTGAAGAATCACTGCATTATATTCGAATCTGGAATAATTTGATGATTTTTTGAAAATTCGTTAACAATAAATCTTTCCGAGTGGTGTGTTCTAATAGAGATCCCACTTTGGCCTTTGGTGAAAATTTTTATTTTGGTCCAATATATTCACTGAAATTTTTTGAAAAATATAAAAAGGGTCCAGTTTGGAAAACGACTCGATTTTTGAAGTTTTTCTGAGGAAATCGATGGAAGAACGAATTGAAAAAAATTGGCATATTTTTAAATGGAAAGTATATTCAAAGACGCACATTTTGTAAAATTACAGGCATTTGAAGATAAAACTTGCAAAAAAGCATGGCTGCTCACAGGATTCCTCAAAAAATCGGAAAAAATTTGAGAAGTCATATTTTTCCATATACAACCACAGGAAAAATCGGCAATATGATTGACGATGGTGAGGGTTTTGACCTGGGTGAACTCACATGGAATACCCCATATGCAGCTCATAATCAATCTGAAAATGTTGGTATTATAATAAGTTTCTCCAGTATTTTCACGGAAAATTGCAGAAAAAATGAGTGGAGCTACGACCTTCTCCCTTTAAGAAACTCGGAAAGTAGCTTTTTGGCGATTATGATCGTTTGCTTTTGGACACGCGATATAGAGTTCCCCCCTTTTTCCTACTTAAGTAAATGCTAATTATTAATTTCTGTGTGATGATTATTAGGTTTTTCTTGGGTAATCCTGGTGACTATGTGTGGGGTAGAGATGGACTGGACTCTATAGTAACGCAGCTACTCAACCAAATGGACGGAAGTGGTCCACCTCCATTACCACGTCAGCAAATTGACGAAATTCCAAATACCACAATTAGCCAATCACACATTGGTGAGGATAATAATATCTGGAATTTTTGTCATTGACTTGGATGTATAAATTCGTTATTGGATAGAAAACAAGTCGAATAATTCTACCTATAACATCTGTTAATTATGTACTGATAATTTGGTAAATGAGCGGTTTTTACACGAGATATTAGTGACCAATTTTGTAACTGAAAAGTTCTTTACTCGAAAGGTCTAATTATTTCGTCTAACTTCACTCATTACTGAGATTAATCATCAATTGATAATTTAAAACAGTGATACTTATTTAAACCGGCCTTTCTACTTTGCATTGCAGATTGCAAACTACAATGTTCCATATGCTGGGAGGATTTTATTCTGTCTGAATCCGTCAGGCAATTATCGTGCAAGCATTTGTATCATACACCGTGTATTGTTCCTTGGCTAGAACTTGTAAGTATTTCTTTTTCCAAATCATTAGATAAAACTTCCATTCAATTATTTTCTGAACATTTCCGAAATTGATAGATTTAGAGATAATCGCGAAGAAATTTCTCTGTTAGACCTGTAAATAAGATTTTTTCATAGCGGAGAATGGGGCAAAATGAAACAGTCAAAAAACGACTGTTTGACACAATTTAACAAAAAAAAATTTTTTTATTAACTTTTGTTTACTAACTTTTTTTATTCTTGGGAGTGCTGACGAGAATAATAAATTTCCATTAAGTAAAATGGAAAATTATTGGGAAGATTTGACGGGAGAAGATTTTGTCAATGGATTAATTAAAATAAAAATGAAACAGCAAAATCCAAAATCCAAAGCAGGGCCCAGGAGGAAACCCAGATGGGGAAAAAGGATAATGTGATGCTGAATTTCAATCGAATGAAAACAGAAAAGTGTAATCGCCCTAATCTAATCAATTGAATTATAGATTAAATATTTCATATTACATAGTTGAAAAGAGAACTGTGGATAAAATTAGTGAAAATTATTAATATTGTCGTCTCGATAGGAGAAATATATGAAAAACTTTCGGGAGTTTCGAATGATCAGAGAACGTAGACTCCGCGATAACGAGGTCTTAGTTTGGCTGGTGGAGAGTCAGGGACAAGCTGACTAGTGGACGTTCAGATCGACATCCAACAGGGGAGTGGGAGTTATCTGTGGAGGTAGTCGATACGCTATTTGGCTCGCTAAATAAGAAAACGCCACCTAGGATCTAAGGCGCACGGGCACTCACACACACAACACAACCAAATTTTGGGTTTGCGTAGGCGCGTATATGAGCGCCTTAGAGCGACCATATTGACGAAAAACAGCGCCTTCAACGGTATTTGGCGCGTCCAATATAATGGTTTCGAATATCAGTGATTTTTTCGAACTGCATGTTTTTTTCTACCGAATAGAAAATTATTATTCTCATCAGTACTCCCAATAATAAAAAAAAAGTTGATAAAAAAAAATTTTTTTTTGCTTGAATTGCCTCAAGTAGTCGTTTTTGGGCTGTTTTATTTTGCCCCACTCTCCTTTACATAGAAGAAATGATCTGAAAAATGTGGATGAGTATTATCGTCGTTTTCAGGATTTATTTGATTATAATGAATAAAATGTCGCAAGCAGTAATAAAATTCATCCATGCTCCCCGGTATGGTTTTATCGAGATACGCGGCAGCGTATCGGCCAAGAAAAGTTTTGACTCTGATTGTACAAAACATCAGGCCGATGGCTGCCGTGTATCTATACACGAAGCAACTATCCCCTCCACTACCTCCGAATCATATCCATTAAATAAAATACAAACGTGACGAACTACATGAAAAATACTCGTAGTTACATTATATAAATTGACCACAAGTTTCTCATTGATATAACTACTTTTTTGTTCGAAGCAATATTTTAAAAAATACGCGCATAGCAACGGGTTCATATGCAGATTCTCGCATTTTACATCACTCCTATAATTTTTTTGTTACGGAGTTGGTAGCAGTGCAATACAACCACACGCACCAAGGAGGGAAGCCCGCGAATTTACAAATTTAATATTGTTGTACCCAGCATGGGGGGTACTTATAATTATAGTAGGTTCTAGGCTTAAGGATGTTCTACATCCTTTCTGCCAAAATTCACGTTTTTTCAATGTTTCTGGCAAACTTATGATGGAATTGATGTGAAAAAATAACGTTTTTGCGTTTTGTCATTATTTAATGACTGACGAAATTTTAAGGTGGTGCGAACATTTTCCTGCGTTTTCTCTAAACTTTTAAAAAGAATCACAAAACTGTAGAAAAAACGCATGAAAATTATCGCACCACTACGCAACTTCGTGAGCCATTAAAGAATGACAAACCACAAAATCGTTATATTTTTTCACGTCACTCCCATCGATAATTTGCCAGAAAAATGAAAACAACGTCAATTTTGGCTAAAAGGGTGTCGAACATCCTTAAAGGGATAAATCCCACCAATGGTTTATCGGTATTTAAATATGAGAATTTATTACATGATTATAATTACTGTGTCATCTGACTGATTACAAAGAGTTTACGACTTTTGTACGCGTCGGAGTCCAATTAAGGTCTGTTCTGTGCAGACCCAATCGTCTCTAAAATAATACATTGATTGTTTACATTTCATCACTTGGTCAGCATAATCCAGTTACGCTGGCAAGTGTCACGCTGACAATGCTGTATGTCCACATATTAAACAATAACGCAATTGACCAAATCTGGGGCATAACAACCCAGTGACTTCGCTAGAACATTATATTGGATACCATTATTGCACTTTCCATTAGTTTTTGGCCGATTGTGTTGCAAAATTCGGCAGTTTCACTATTCTTTTATATTTTTTTCGTGAGGAGGAAATTTCAAAAAGGCCCCAATTTTTTGAGTATTCGTAATTAAATTTGTTAATTATTGTTGTTCATTTTTGCGGCAANCAATCTTGAATAAATAATAAAAAGTCGGTGCAAATAACGACTGTGGAATAGAACTATTTGTTTTACTTCGATTGTTAATTGGAAAGATGATTTATCGTGTGAAAAATAAATGAGCCGAATTGAAAAACAAAAACAAATGTTTTTGTAAAAACTGCGCCAAGAAAAAGTTTTGCTTGGTTCTTACTGGGAAGTCGAAATTTTTGAAAAATACAAAGAAATGAAAAAGAAAGCCAAGTCAGCAATGTCGAATAAACGAAAATAGTGCACAATCAGATTTCTATCTGAGAAATTGTTTCAAATCGAATGAGGATTTTTAAAAAATTCTTCATGAAATAAATTAGTAGAAGGAGGACCAACGTTCTCGGCGCGGAGTTTTTCATCTCATTGTCTAGTATCGATCTAATTCTCCATCTTCTGATCCGCGCCAAGGACGTTGGTCCTCCTTCTACTAATTTTTTATTTCATGAAGAATTTTTAAAAAATCCTTATTCGATTTGAAACAATTTCTCTTATAGAAATCTGATTGTGCACTATTTTCGTTTGTTCGACATTGCTGACTTGGCTCTCTTTTTCATTTCTTTGTATTTTTCAAAAATTTCTACTGCCCAGTAAGAACCAAACAAAACTTTTTCTTGGCGCAGTTTTTGTACAAAAACATTTGTTTTTGTTTTTTTAGGGTTTAATCCTACGCCATGCTGTAAACCGGTACTTTACAGCTGTGCTCTCGATCAATTTTATTTTTAAATTTCAGCATGGAACGTGTCCAATATGCCGACAGAGTCTTGGAGACCAAAGCTCTGCAGAGGCAAATCAGGACGAAGTCGGGCCAAGCCTGGCAGCGCTCTTCAGAGCAGTTCAGAGCAGCAATCAATTCAACAGCAGAGCATCATCTACCTCCTCATCGACAAGTAGCAACTCCAGCAATGACTCCTCCAATGAACATTAAATTAACAAATTTTGTAATGAATTATTGTACAGTGTCGCTCCTCCTCTGACTTAGGTTCATACATTTCACTATTTTTGTTTCCCACACGCGAAGAAATTGTATACAGCACACTTAATTATCCCATTTTGAACAGGAGCATATACATCCCATCATCTAGTTCTGGAAATTATTTATAAAAGTACCCGGACGTCGTGAAATTGAGAAACGAGGAGACAGTCATCACCTACTGAAAAGTTCATTTTATTTCCATTTTCGTTCGTATTCACAATCGTTGGTGTGAATTGTTAATTATTTATAGGAAAATATCAATGATTAATGGAAACAAAAATGGATGGAAGCAGGAGAAGATGCGGGTAGCAGCGGCAATTCAGAATATTTTTCTCTCTCATTGAATTGAATTATTTTTCGTCATTTTGACAAGTTTCTCCGAGGAATGAATCCACGGAATTAAAAAAATTGTTAAATTGTAAGAGCTTCATTATCAACTCATGCTCAATCTTTCATTCAATAAATGAGTAAACGAATTGAATTTATTCAATCACCTCTTTGCATTCATCAAGATTTTATCTTATGTGATTCGTAGAGAAATTACATCAAAATAAATTTGCAGATTATTTTGTCTCTCTTCGGAAGACGAGAATTTGAACAGAAACGTCGAATTGCCTCTCTTGTGAAGAGTTATGCGTTTCACAAATGAAGTCTCTCGACATTCTCTGAAATCTCAGTGTCCGAGATATTTTCATAATAATCCGTTTTTTTTATTTCTACCAATACGTCACGATTTTTAACGAGTATACACTCGTTACATTCAATATACACTCAAAATAATGTTCTGTCATCCATGAGGAATGAATTACATATGCTGAGGTGAATTGAGAATTTAGTTGCAATGATTTGATTATTGTCTCATCATTTTCATAATCTCAGTATGGATGTATCAAGAAATGAGAAGAAAAGTTGGAGAAGTATAAACAAATCATAAATTACTATCGTAAAGTGGCTGAAGAGTGTATGAGCACAAAAACTCATTTTGTGAATAATTAAAAGAAAAAAGTAATATTAAAAGATATTAATCGAGTTTGTTACGGAAGATGGAATAACAATGGGAAGTCTAGGCAGAATTTTCCTACGTCTACAGTTAACGCTATGATGTAATGATAATCCAGCTTTATAGTTGATAAACGTGTAAATTAGGAAAGTTATTTAAAAAAATGAGAAGGAAATAATACAAAATAAAACCCATGTATTTATTCATCAATTCATCACTAGTTGCAATTTTTTACCTCTCGTGATTGATTGCTGAGGTTTGAGTAGAGATTATTGAATTTTCAGTAGTGATGCCACGATTCCAAAATTATTGGTTATTTTTCAATTGTTGCAATCACATTTTTCCCGTGAAGGAAAGTTTGAGAAAAATTCTGGAGTACCAGTGGTATTTGTTGGAATTCTTTTATTCGAATGTCGGCCAATCGGAGTGCAGCATTCCGAGAAAACACAAGTACAGAACTAGGAGAATTTTTCCAAAATAAAACTGTTGGGTAGCCTCAGGTACTACCCGCTTATTAACTGTCACGCGAAAAATAGTACATTTCATGCCCGAGCCTTGGAAAACAGATCATTCTCCCCCCCGTGCAAGATTGCCTTCCGAGCCGAAGGCGAAGATGGCAAGCACGTGGGGAAGGGTAATATGTTTTTCATGGCGAGGCGTGAACATTATTTTTCGTGTCACGGGGCTGCGCGCCACGAAATTGGCATTTTTCAGGTCTTGCGACACGAAAAATAAATATTCAAAATAATATTATATGACCGACGGCGGTGGCTGTGTGGTTAGAGTGTGGGATTGGAATGCGGGAGACCCGGGTTCGATTCCTGGCTGGGGGGGCTAAAATTTGACACTCTAAATTTCACGGTTTCATTGTCGAGCGGGAGTCTCGCACGAGACGACTGTACCTGGGCAGCTTTTTCCCTCAAATGAGGTTTTCACTGGTCGTTCGGCGAATGTGGTACAGGGGGTTGGGGGTGGGAAGGGAACAAATCGTAAAAACCCGAAAGAATATACGAGAAGAAAAAAAAATTATATGTGAGCGAATCCGCCAATTCTGTATATAAAAAAATTGCCGTAAAGTTTTAAAGGTTTTGTTCTTACTTTTTTTTCGAAAGTGTATAGCATAGTCCAAAAGAAGAACAATGAGCGTAACCGGAGCTCTCTAACTCAATAATTGACGGAAATATTGAAAGATGAAATTTTTTTTCTTCTAAAAACATTTTTTTCAATTCGAATTACGAGCCACTAACAAGGAGAGGTCACGCCTTTCGGGTCACCAATTTGGCTGGGTCTCTGTGTATTTCAAGAGGCCCACCGGTTGAGTGCATCCCTAAATTCCTAGGGTGCACAACTCGGAAATAAGGGAGAAATTCCTATTCAAACTTTTAAGTTCAAGACCCACACCAGATTTTTTTTTTGTTCATTTTCGCAGAAAATGTTCCTTTTAGCACAATTAAATGATTCAAATGATGGAAAATGAATTTCAATGACATATATCGAATATTACCTTCATTGACGGGAAAATGCGTTCGAACTGTCTCCCTGTCTCGGCGGCGCCCCGCCCATAGGGACGTCTAGTCTGATGCCTGCGACGAATATGTCTCGCTGCGTTTCGCCTGAAGGAACAGGTCAGAACAGTGGCATAGCATAAGGCGCCTATAAAAGGCGATAGAAAAGGTCGATCCTGCGAGTAAACCGTCAGTTGGAAACCAACATCCAAACGCAGCAGACGTATATTTTGTGAGTTGTGTACCCAAAATTAGTGAAGAAATAGGATAAAATGGAGCAAGAAGCTGCATCATCATCTCATCATCTAGCAGAGGAGATTCTTCGCAATTCTGTTCATAGTGAGGAATCGAAAAAACTCATCAGAGAAGCCGTAAGCCACTGTGAAGAGCTGTTATTGAGAAATGATCTCATAGTGGAGGAAACGCCAACGACGATTTCAGCACCAGCGGCGCTGATGGGAGAAGAAATCTTCCATCAGATCACGGAAATGTTGGGAGAGAGACAGATGGTGGAGGACGAGGAATTAATCTTTCCCAACGAAGAAGACGTGGATCAACTGTATGAGCCTGTCGAGGAAGCTGAGAGCTCTGATTCTGATGAGTACAAGCCTCCCGAAGAAAAAAAAAGAAATTAGACTTTGTCCCCCTGGAAACAAAGATCAAAGTGCTGAGGTTGGCCAGAGAACATCCAAATTGGAGCTTGGAGACACTCCAGAGGAAAGGCTCAAGGAGTTTGAAGAGAAAGGATGACTTGAAGCGTTGGGAGTAAGATGTCGCAAAGGGAGGAACAGTCTATAAAAAAATATGCTGCCATCGATTCATGGACCTATGATCACTTTGTAGAGGCTCGGGCAGAATACGCACAGGGAAAATTTGACTTGAACGTTTTCCCTTCCTAAGGGGGATATAATGGCAGGAAAATGAACCAACAGTATTTTTTCATTGCAGGTAACAACGAGGAATTTGCGGGAGTGGGCATTGGCCGCTGCCGCATTCAGGGATTCGAACTTCGAATTCAAAACCTGAATGTCTTGAGTAAAAAAATTCAAGAAGAAACACCACATTCGCCAGCGGAAAGTCATCAAGTACATCAGCCGCAAGCAGCACTGCACAATGACAGAGGTCCTGGAGGCGGCGAAAAAATTCTGTACACAAGTAAAAGCAATCACCAAGAATTTCCAGCATGCACTCATCATCAACACCGATCATATGGGTTGTCAATACCAGTCTGCTTATGATAGGACACTTGAAGAGAAAGGGTCAAGAACTGTGCTGGTACAAGAAACTGATCTGAACAAAATGAGTCACTCGTACACAGTACAGTATGGCATCACAATGTCCGGAAAATTGTTGCCTCATGTGTTCCTGTGTTTGCAGGAGCCCACAGGATCTTTCGGCCCACGAATGAAAAAAAATTGTCGACGCTTTGACTAATGAGTTCGGTAATGTTGCGGTAACTTGCTTGAAATCCGGCAAATTAGCGTCGGGGTTGTATCGTGAATTTCTCGAAAAAGTAATCCAATTTTACGTAGAAGATAATAATTTTTTATTCATAGTCGATTCCTGGGGGGGTCACAAATCCGGTGATTTACGATGAAATTTCCCTCAATCAAGACAATCTGTCAACTTGTACCGTGAAAATTATCTCTCCGAAATGTACTGCAATCCGTCAACCTTGTGATGTGTATTTGCATAGACAGATGAAAAATTTCATCAAGAAAATTCAGAACTGCACATATTTGGCTGCAGAAAAACGTGATATCGCATCTCGCGAAGATGCGATACGAATCCACTCATTGATCCATCATCAATTATCAGCTCCAGTTTTTGAGTCAATGACCAAATACGCATGGTTTGCATCTAAACTATCCGATGAAAGAAACATTTTCCTGAATGTCAATGAGGTATGTTTTCCCGTTGATAAATTGCAAGCGCCCTGTGCTTGCAAAAATACAGCTTTCATCTCTTGTAGTAGATGCAAGATAAATTTATGTTTTGTTTGTTTTTATGATAATTATCATCCAAAAAATTGTACAACTGACAGTGACTGAAAACAATAAAATTTACTACTTGTTCCTCAATTTCTGTTACATTTTTTAATTGAAATGATACAAAAATTCCGTAATTATGTTTTGAATGATTGAGTTGTGCTAAAAAGAACATTTTCTGCGAAAATAAAGAGAAAAAAATCCGGTCTGAGTCTTGAACTCAAAAGTTTGAACAGGAATCTTTCCCTTATTTCCGAGTTGTGCACCCTAGGGATTTAGGGATCCACTCTACTAGTGGGCCTCTCGAAATACACAGAGACCCAGCCAAATCGGTGACCCGAAAGGTGTGACCTCTCCTTGTAAGAGCAACAAACAAAATATGAACCCATATATTTTTTATTGGAAATTTTCTCAGCTTTTCGAAAAAATATTGTATTTCTATGTATCTGTGTCTTTGGCATGGGAAATTCAAAAAGAAAGTTTCAAACGGTCAGTTGGTGTCGTTCCTTACCCTTTTTTATTTTATTTTAATTTTTTTCATCGTAAAGGTCAGAAAATTTCCTGACGAACACCTATTTTCAATTTTGGAGCTCTGAAGAATTCAGAAGCAAAATGGAGAGAAAAACAAAATTTAGTCTTCCCAAAAAATTAGTTTTCTAATATCTCGGAATCTTAAGGGGAGACTACTATGAATTTTAAAAGTCGTGGGCTATTGGAATGAGGTTTCTCATACATTCAGGATCGATTATATATGTCTAAAATCGAATAATTAGTGCAAAAAAAATTGTTTATTGTTCGATTATCCCGGAAATGCTTAAAATATTGAAAATAGTCCAGGGCCTCCAATTTTTGAGCTACAGAATTTTTTTTCTCAAAATTTAAAAAAAATGTGTGCAATAACAGTTAAGAATTATATTGGATTATGTGTAGGAATACTCAATAAAAACACATTAGTTTTATTCTTCAAAGTAAAACTCTTTAATGATCGCACGCAGAAGGTATATCTTTCTCCAACGAAGTCTCTAGGACGACTAACTAAAAGTCATGAGAGTTTTCACTCTCTGGACCCATTTGACAAAAGGCCCTTGTTTCAATTTTCTTCAGCCTCTCCTTTGTGACTCACCATGAGGACTGTTTTTCTTCACGTCTCTATTTTCTAAGAAAAGCCATAAATGTCACCCTGAGTGTTTGGGTGGAAAAGAGAAAATGTTTAACTAAACTAAGAAATTAATTTTTGTATTCAGGCAT